CCTTGTGACCAGTGTCCCCTCTAAGCTGAGTTAGTGTGAGCTAGCTCAGTCTTTTAGCCTCCGGCTCACACATTTTTGTCTCAGCTCAGGAAGGAGGGCTCCAGAGGAAACGAATGTATGCAGTAGCCAAATTGCTTGCTCACAGCTTTAATGCCAGGAGCTCAGAAAGTGGAATTTTTGCTCACAAGACTCCACAGCTTAGAGGGAACATTGCTTGTGACCAAAAGCCACAGATGGACCTCCGCTCCAGATGTTCATCCAGTCCCCTCTTGAAGTTGTCTGTGCTAGTAGCCACCACCACTCCTTGCGGCAGTGCTGTGAAGTGGCCTTTCCCGTGAAGAGGAACAGTGTGTGTATGCACAGGGTGTACAGAGACGTATTTCCCATACGCACACACGCACTCCTCCCCAGGGCTCTGGACAAGATATAAAGCACACACACGGACGTGCGCGCGCACACACACACACACACGGTCTGCAGTCGTGAGAATTCTGAGCTAATATACTTGGATTGTTTTTAGGATTTAAAAAACAGCAACAAATTAATAAATGCTTAAAATATGAACAATAAGAAAGTCTAAAGCAAGAGGATGACAAAAACAGTAAATAAGATGCTGGGATCCGATATCTCAATGAAAGGAATTTTGTCTTATGAAAGCGTATACTTTGGGGGATTGTTTAGGTCTTTAAAGTGCGACCGGACTCTAATCTTGTTCGAACCTGAGCAAATGAATTACTCTGTCCTATTGTAGGGCATTATGCCAGTGCCAAGTGATCCTTTCTGCTCCCATAGGGCTTCACTGTGGTGGGCAATGCTTTCTCTCCCTCCCCCTCTACTAATGCAATCCTAAGCTGTATTGGGGAGGCTTCCACAGGCTCTCCTGTCTGCACCCCCTCTCCCCTCTCTTCCCGTTTCCCCTGTTGATAAAAGTTTGCCTGCATGGTTTTGCAAAATTCTCTGTCTTCAGGGCTCTCAGCTCCTCTCTGGGGTCCCTAGAAATTAAACCTCTGCGTGGGGGGAGGGGTGGATACATTTTATATACAACGCACAAGTCCATAAATGCACACGCACGAACACTAGCACATCATGTGGTGCACAGCTGGTGCATTGTAGCTATCGGAGCACATTTTGAAATGATGGTATCTGAAGCAAAATGCCGCTGAATCTAGCATGCCACAGAAGGCCGTGCTGCAGAGACAGAGCCACCACCAGGTGCTGTTCTCTGCCAGCAGCTGGTATTTACAGGTATTCTGCCTTCGAACATGGAGGTTCCATCTAGTCAAGGGACGAGAGACTGAAAACTGAGGAATTCAGAAAGCCTGTTCCACCCGTAGTTATTGCACTACGTTGTTATGATGATATTCTAGTGCTCATTTGTTTTAAAAAAAAATTGGTGGTGACCACAGCTAGGGGATTGGGGCAGGGGAGCTACGGGGAAAGTTGCCATGTGAGAAGAGCCCCATTGCGGCAGTGCTTTATCTATCACTGGGGAAACCACCAAATCCCATCCCTGCACGGAAGACACCTATGAGTTACTGTCTGGGCACGAACAGTCAGCACTTGTAAGCCAGAGTCTCTGGCTGTTGTGGATCCCGCTGCCTCTCTTGGAGGCCAGACTAGAAAACAGCAGTGGGCTGTAAAAAGAACCCCACCACCTTTGGTTTATCTTTCTTTAGCAACTTCCATGTCCTGACCAGTGTTCCCTCTAAGCTGAGTTAGTGTGAGCCAGCTCACTGTTTTTTAGCCTCCAGCTCACACATTTTTGTCTCCGCTCAGGAAGGATGGCTCCAGAGCAAACTAATTCATGCAGCAGCCAAATTGCTGGCTCACAACTTTAATGCCGGTAGCTCACAAAGTAGATTTCTTTGCTCACAAGACTCCATGGCTTAGAGGACATTGGTCCTGACCAATGCTTCCTCTAAGCTGTGGAGTCTTGTGAGCAAAAATTTTACTTTGTGAGCTATTGGCATTAAAGTTGTGAGCAAGCAATTTAGCTCCTGCATAAATTAAGTTTGCTCTGGAGCCATCCTTCCTGAGCTAAGATGAAAATCTGTGAGCTGGAGGCTAAAAAACTGAGCTGGCTCACACTAACTCTGCTTAGGGGGAACACTGGTCCTGACTCCCCATCCCTAGATGGAAATTAGCTGATAAGGAAAGAGGCGAAACAGATTTTCTGCCTTCGCTTCTAGCTTTCTCTTCCTTTCCCCAGGGGAGTTTGAGGACTCTGTCAGTCAAAACAATTGGTAGCATTCCTCAAGAGTGGGAGAATCTAAAGTACACCCCACACACACACACACAGACATGAGAGTATCTGCTGGGTGAGTCTTTTCCCTGAGCTGGGAGGGGGAGATAGTAGACATCGCATTTCAGGATAAGAGGACTGATCTTGTTGTCTGAACACACCGTTCCACTTCAGGATCAAGCTGGGTCAGGGGAAAGAGCTTTGGTGTCTTGCAGCGCTGATTGGCGGCTGCTGGTGTACTCACCACCTTCCCCCTCCCATAAGAATATAAGAAGAGCCCTGCTGGATCAGACCAGGGGTCCATCTAGCCCAGCATCCTGTCCCACACAGGGGCCAACCAGCTCCTCTGGAAGTCCAGCGACTGCAGAGAGGCCAAGGCCTTCATAAGAACATCAGAAGAGCTCTGCTAGATCAGACCAGTGAGGGTCCATCTAGTCCAGCATCCTGCCTCACACAGTGGCCAACCTGTTCCTCTGGAGGGCCAACAACAGGGCATAGAGGCCAAGGCCTTCATAAGAACATCAGAACAGCCCTGCTGGATCAGACCAGTGAGGGTCCATCTAGTCCAGCATCCTGTCTCACACAATGGCCAACCAGTCCCTCTGGAGGGCCAACAACAGGGCAGAGAGGCCAAGGCCTTCATAAGAACATCAGAACAGCCCTGCTGGATCAGACCAGGGAGGGTCCATCTAGTCCAGCATCCTGTCTCACACAATGGCCAACCAGTCCCTCTGGAGGGCCAACAACAGAGCAGAGAGGCCAAGGCCTTCCCTCTGAATGTGGAGGTTCCCCTCAGTCACCATGGCTAGTTAGCCATTGATAGACTTATTCTCCATTTATCTGTCTAATCCCCTTTTCAAGCTGTTTATTCCTGTGGCCATCACAACATCCTCTGGCCGCGAATTCCACATTTTAATCACTCCCTGTGTGAAGTCGTCTTTCCTTTTGTCCTTCCTGAACCTGCTGCCCATAGGCTTCATAGGTGCTTGAGTTCTAGTATTTTGGGAGAGGGAGAAACATTTCTCTGTCACCCCATGCATAATTTGTTAAACCTCTTTCCTGTCTTTCCCCTTAGTCATCTCTTTTCAAAACTGAAAAGTCCCACAGCCTCTCCAGCCTTTCCTCGTAGGGAAGGTGCTCCAGCTCCCTCATCATCAGAAGAGCCCTGCTGGATCAGACCAGTGGTCCATCTAGTCCAGCATCCTGTCTCACACAGGGGCCAACCAGTTCCTCTGGAGGGCCAACAACAGAGCAGAGAGTCTGAGGCCTTCCCCTGATAAGAACCTAAAAAGAGCCCTGGTTGATCAGGCCAGTGGTCCATCTAGTCCAGCATCCTGTCTCACTCAGGGGCCAACCAGTTCCTCTGGATGGCCAACAAAAGGTCACAGAGACCAAGGCCTTCGCCTCATGTTGCCTCTTGGCTCTGGGACTCAGAAGTTTAGTGTCTCTGAATGTGGAGGTTCCCCTCAGTCACCATGGCTACTAGCCATTGATAGACTTATCCTCCATGAATCTCTCCAATCCACTGTTTACACTATTTATTCCTATGGCCATCATTGTATCCCCTGGCAGCAAATTCCACATTTTAATAATCTCTGGGTAAAGTAGCCTTTAGCAGTTTTGCACTTTAATTCTATTTTTTATCAATAAGGTAATTTTTGATAATGGGGTAGATGGCTTCTAATCTTCACAAAGTGTTACAATTGTTGCCACTGCTTTTTTTCCTGACTGTTCTTGGAGGCTGTTCTGTTCAGAGTCTGTAGACTCCCTTGGCAGACAAACCTGAGAGGCCAGCTTTGTCCTGACTGTGTGTGTCACATCGTCTTCTATGACATTTTGTGTCAAGTCCAGCAACGGTTCCCCTATATTTCTGGCCATAACCATGACATAATGAACATGCATGTAATTCTCTTACAAAGAAATTTCAAAGGGAGATTAGAGAGAGAGATCTGCCTGTCTTAGACAGTCTTCCACCCACCACCCACTGTACTCTTTGGTTGAGCCCACGTTTAATCCAGCCTCAGGACCACTGCTTCTAGATCTGCCAAGGACATTTTGCTGGCTCAAAAGGTAGGACCCAGGATTCCTTGCAAAGTCGCCAAAGATTCCTGAGCCAGACTCTGGAAATGTGGGGAGCTGTGTGCCTTCCAGGACATTTGCAACGGGTTCTGTGGCACAAATTTTGGCTATCTGAGGAAGTGAGCAGTGTTGCTCGTGAGAGCTCCTCCCCCTGCCACAGATTTTGTTAGTCTTTAAGGTGCTGCTGGACTCTTTTCTACTGCTACAGACAGACTCACACGGCCACCCATCTTGATCTATCTGAAGAAGGGAGCGGTGACTCACAAAAGCTCACACCCTGCCACAAATTTTGTTAGTCTTTAAGGTGCTACTGGGCTCTTCCTTTTTTCTAGTGCACGCAGTGATTTTTAGAAATAAAGGAAGCGGGAGGGACAGGACTAATGTAGTGTACTGAACATAGTTGTGGGCCCCACTCAGCCAGCTTGCAATGGCGAGGTTACGAGATTGCATTGTATTCCACGGATCCGTTCCACTAGCTGTAGTGTTTTTTTTTGTGTTCTGCCTCTCTGAACCTTTTGCATCGGGGGAAAGCCGAAGGAATACTCCACCACTCGGGGAGCAGATCTGTGGATCCAACCCATTCGTTGTTGTTAATTTGCCCCCCCAGCTTAATAAAATGTCTTTCTCTCTCCCCCCCCCACCCCTTTGTCTCTCTCTTCCCTTTCTCTTGCCATCAAAGGTCCCCCAGTATTTATCAAGACTCCCGTGGACCAGATCGGGGTCTCTGGAGGGGTGGCTTCCTTCGTGTGCCAGGCTACCGGAGACCCGAAGCCCCGTGTGACCTGGAACAAGAAGGGGAAGAAAGTGAACTCACAGCGGTTCGAGGTGAGTATTTACCGCAGAGCCTCGATTTGAAACAGATAGATAAGAAGCCGCTTGGTCTCCGCACTAGGAAGAGAGAGGGAAAGGTACCGAGGGTCATCTCTGGGGTTACATTACATTGAGTCATTAGACAGCTTTAAAAACAGGACCAGCCCATTGCTATCGATAAGGTATCAGACTTGGTCGGGGAAGATCCGGGTTCACATCTTCATTGTCCGGGAATCTAATCTTAACCTACCTCACAGTGCTGTTCAGTGGCTGCTCCAAGCTCCTTGGAAGATCAACAGGATAATGCATGTAATTAAATGTTCTTAAAATCACTAGTTTATCCTCTTTTCCCTCGAAGGACATAAGAACATCAGAAGAGCCCTGCTGGATCAGCCCAGTGGTCCATGTAGCCCAGCATCTTGTCTCACACGGGGGCCAACCAGTTTCTCTGGGCATAGAGCCCAAAGCCTTCCCCTGATGCTTCCCCCTGGCTCTGGGATGCAGAGGGTTAAGTGCCTCTGAACGTGGAGGTTCCCCTCAACCACCACGGCTAGTAGCCATTGATAGACCTATCCCCCATGAACATACCTAATCCCCTTTTAACCTGTTTATTCCCGTGGCCATCACGACATCCTCTGGCCGCGAATCCCACATTTTAATCACTCTCTGTGTAAAGTGGTATTTCCTTTTGTCCGTTCTGAACCTACTGCCCATCAGCTTCATGGGATGCCCTCAAGGTCTAGTATT